CAAGAATACAGCTAATATTCCATTTATTCACTTTGGAGAGTTCCCTCCACAAGCAGTTACAACCAGTATGATGAGTTAGAGGGAACTGAGGCAATCAGCCACAATAACACAGGTCGTTTGCTCACATGCATAGATTTTATTTTTCTTCTTCTTCTTCTTCTTTTTTTTTTTTTTTTTTTTTGAGATTTTCATTTATTTTAGAGAGATAGAGAGAGAGCCCAAGTGGGAGGGGTAGAGGGAGAGAGAATCTCAAGCAGATTCCCCCACTGAGTGCAGAGCTGAATGTGGGGCTCCATGCAGGGATCACTGTGGGGGTGGGGGGCTCCATCCCAGGGCTCAGGGATCATGACCTGAGCCAAAGGCAGATGCTTAACTGACTGAGCCACCTAGGTGCCCTTATTTTTCTTCCTCTTTAAGGCTTTCAAGTCCTGCTTTTGTGACATTGTTTGGCATCCCAAACACTCCTCTCGCTAACGCTTTCCCAAGATGTCCTTTTATTTGCAAAACTGTTGTGAGTGAACAACTTAAATCTTGTTAACAGACCGTTCATTCAGAATTCTAGAAATTCTTCTCAGATCAAGCCAGAGCTGAAGTTAGGATGTCAAGCTTCCAACAAGCAATGCATACATTAATCTAATCACATCATCTTCTGTTTTCAGCATAAATTGATAAATTTAAAATCTGCTGGCCAGTGACTGCGGGTCTATAAAGCAGGTATTAGGATGGAGGCTCCCCATGGAAAAAGGCAAGAGAGAAGCGAATGAAATGAGCAGCAAATGTGAACATTTTGGTGGACCGACTAAACTGTGAACAAGCCTTTTCCCAGATACCTTACTTGTGTGACTCTGACGCATTTGGGGTTTCAATGAACAGAGAATAAGCTTTGCCCACGGGACACTGTAAGATCAATGCTGGAAGAAATGAAGTGAGACAGAAGTTCTGTATGAATATTAAGATAGCTTTTCTCACATCTGAAAGTAGCTAGATTGCAAAGCAGTCAGCCAAAAGAGATGCTAACAGTCCCATCACTTAGGCCAGTAAAGCAATAAATGATTCTTGGTGGGAGTAATCGTGTATTGGCTGGAAATTAGGTAAATAGTCTGTGGAGGATTTTCCTTTTCCTCTAGCATCCCAACAAATGTCTTTTTAATGAAGTTTCTCCATCTCCCAGCTAGTTTGTGGGAAGATGCAAAAACAAGCCCACAAGCACATCCATATATTACCCAGACATAAAGCTCTATGAGTAGGGCTCCCCCTGGATTTAGCGAGGCTATTGATTACACTGTGAATTTCAATAGGTAGGAGAAAATCAGATGTCGTATGGTTAGAGCTCTATGCCAAATAAAGGAATTCTGGAAATGCTTCCTACAGAAGAGAGGGGAGCTTAAAACTTGAACATTCTACCCACACAATCTAGTGTATTGACATTGCTTAACTTTTTGTTGGTTATAATTAGATTGATACTACAAAAGAAAATTAAGTAACTCTTAACAAACCCAACAGAAAGTACTTTAAAGAAACTTGATATCATCAGCAAGCAAGATTGGATTTATGGTAATTTAGAGTCCCTGCACCACTTCAGTAAGGAAACACAAAACTCATTTCTGGGATATTGGCAAGTCTGGGGATCTCTTCATCTAAGGACGCGAGAAAAAAATTTTAACTTGGTGTCCTGGTATGTTTCTATTCTCTAAAATATGTCTTTTAACTTACAGAAAAGCTTCCTTTGTGAGGAAAATAATAAGCTAACCAAAAAAAGACTCTCCCATTGCCAGAACCACAAAGTTGTCACATGAGGGACACTGAAGACCAAAAAGGGTACGGAGTGTCATTGCTTGCACTTCACAGTATTTTTAAGAGCTTTTTGATGTGGATCAAATACCGAATGTGCTTCGTTAACTTGGTTAATTTCATAAGCACTGATCTAGGGAAACAGAAGATGAATGTCATTCTGCAAGATGGAAAGTCAGTTGACGCAAAAGTATAAAGTACTGTCTGATCCCAGAGGCCTTTGTTTTATTAGTGGAGCATAAAACTGGTAATAATTCATTCAAAGTTTACTAAGGGCCTGCTAAATGCAAGGCACAGTCCTAGAACCTCAAGGAAGTGGTAATATAAAAACATGTAGTAAGTGAGGATCCTGCCATAACAGAGCAAGTAGGTTCACTATATCCCGATTCTACAAAGGATTAAAAACCAGCTGCAGATGGGTTTTTTTTTTTTTAATTTTTATAAACATATATTTTTATCCCCAGGGGTACAGGTCTGTGAATTGCCAGGTTTACACACTTCACAGCACTCACCATAGCACATACCCTCTCCAATGTCCATAGCCCCACCCCCCCAACCCCCCTCCCCCCATCAACCCTCAGTTTGTTTTGTGAGATTAAGAGTCACTTATGGTTTGTCTCCCTCCCAATCCCATCTTGTTTCATTTACTCTTCTTCTACCCCCTTAACCCACCATGTTGCATCTCCTCTCCCTCATATCAGGGAGATCATATGATAGTTGTCTTTCTCCGATTGACTTATTTCGCTAAGCATGATACCCTCTAGTTCCATCCACGTCGTCGCAAATGGCAAGATTTCATTTCTTTTGATGGCTGCATAGTATCCCATTGTGTATATATACCACATCTTCTTTATCCATTCGTCTGTGGATGGACATCTAGGTTCTTTCCATAGTTTGGCTATTGTAGACATTGCTGCTATAAACATTCGGGTGCACGTGCCCCTTTGGATCACTACGTTTGTATCTTTAGGGTAAATACCCAGCAGTGCAATTGCTGGGTCATAGGGTAGTTCTATTTTCAACATTTTGAGGAACCTCCATGCTGTTTTCCAGAGTGGTTGCACCGGCTTGCATTCCCACCAACAGTGTAGGAGGGTTCCCCTTTCTCCGCATCCTCGCCAGCATCTGTCATTGCCTGACTTGTTAATTTTAACCATTCTGACTGGTGTGAGGTGATATCTCATTGTGGTTTTGATTTGTATTTCCCTGATGCCGAGTGATATGGAGCACTTTTTCATGTGTCTGTTGGCCATCTGGATGTCTTCTTTGCAGAAATGTCTGTTCATGTCCTCTGCCCATTTCTTGATTGGATTATTTGTTCTTTGGGTGTTGAGTTTGCTAAGTTCTTTATAGATTTTGGACACTAGCCCTTTATCTGATATGTCATTTGCAAATATCTTCTCCCATTCTGTCAGTTGTCTTTTGGTTTTGTTAACTGTTTCCTTTGCAGTGCAAAAGCTTTTGATCTTAATAAAATCCCAATAGTTCATTTTTGCCCTGCTTCCCTTGCCTTTGGCGATGTTCCTAGGAAGATGTTGCTGCAGCTGAGGTCGAAGAGGTTGCTGCCTGTGTTCTCCTCAAGGATTTTGATGGATTCCTTTCTCACATTGAGGTCCTTCATCCATTTTGAGTCTATTTTCATGTGTGGTGTAAGGAAATGGTCCAATTTCATTTTTCTGCATGTGGCCGTCCAATTTTCCCAACACCATTTGTTGAAGAGGCTGTCTTTTTTCCATTGGACATTCTTTCCTGCTTTGTCGAAGATTAGTTGACCATAGAGTTGAGGGTCTATTTCTGGGCTCTCTATTCTGTTCCATTGATCTATGTGTCTGTTTTTGTGCCAGTACCATGCTGTCTTGATGATGACAGCTTTGTAATAGAGCTTGAAGTCTGGAATTGTGATGCCACCAACTTTGGCTTTCTTTTTCAATATTCCTTTGGCTATTCGAGGTCTTTTCTGGTTCCATATAAATTTTAGGATTATTTGTTCCATTTCTTTGAAAAAAATGGGTGGTACTTTGATAGGAATTGCATTAAATGTGTAGACTGCTTTAGGTAGCATAGACATTTTCACAATATTTATTCTTCCAATCCAGGAGCATGGAACATTTTTCCATTTCTTTGTGTCTTCCTCAATTTCTTTCATGAGTACTTTATAGTTTTCTGTGTATAGATTCTTAGTCTCTTTGGTTAGGTTTATTCCTAGGTATCTTAT